CGGCGGAGGAGGGGGAGGGCTGCGCAAACCAATTATTGGTTTGGTCGGGGAGGACAACATCACCACCACCATCGGTCAGAGGTTAGGAACGCATGGACGATACACCTCTCGCGAACCGAAAGCGGGGACCACAACAGCTGACGTGAGCGAGGTCCAGAGAGTATGGGCACTCCACCGCCCGGAAGAAGGGTTGTGTTATCGACATGTCGGGCACCTTCCCGACGACGGGTGCGCGCGGCGCTTCGCGAGTCGAGGCAGCGCAGCGAGTTCGTTCACGAGTGCGGTGCACGCACCGCCGCGGCGGCGGCGGCGCGAAGACGCATCGTGCTGCCTGGCGGAATATAACGTCTCAGTTTTTTACAACACCTTATTATTATCATTATTATGCTAAGGGAGAATCTGCATACAGAGCGGGCCATTAGATGCACTCGGATCAGTCAGGGCGCCGCTGCGCCGCGCCGCCGCGCTCGGCTGTCAAAACACTTTATCTAGTCGCTCTTTTCCGCATAAGACCCCACCGCCTCACCCCCGCACCTCCTCGACCACCGCACTTACCTCCTCTCACCTTTCCCTTTGCTTCTCTTGTTTTCACCCCCGAAAATTGCAACAAGCGGCATTTTCCTACCCGGCCCTCCAACTCACTTTACTTTATTTTTTCACCTCGCCATCTGAAACGCGACTAAACAAAAAGGAGCAGGAGAGGGGGGGGGGCGCTGCTGAGGCGCTATCCGAAAGTAATCTTCTCCCTTCGCGCAACTATTTTCAATGCAGCACAGAAGGAAAGGGGATAGGTGAACGGGGAGGGGAAAATGGGGTGGGGAGAGAGGGTGGGTGTAAGGGGAAGGGGGGGTGGCGTCCGCGGGGCAAAAAAGAACAGCGCGATGAGGCTTGCGTCGGGCAATTGTTATTAACTCGAGCGAGACACGCCAAGCGCAGCGCACGACAAGTTTGTTTTAATTATTGTCTTTCCAGCCCAAACTTACCGCCCGACCCGACCCCTCCGCCTCCCTGTCGCCACCCTTCCTTGTTTTCGCCCATCGTCACGGCTCGTGCTAAGACGAAAGACGGAGGACGAGGTCGAGAATCGCGGACTAGGGAAAGGAGAGGGGGGGGGGGTTAAAGGGAAGGACAGACAGGCAGGGAAGAATAGAATCATGTTCCAAAGTTCTAACAGTACATGTGAAAAAAGTATGATTAAGATTATGCAAATAAGTTCTCTGCAATGCAGACATATCTGTCATGGTACAAGCACATGTATCACAATGCGATCTTCCATACATTATTGCACTTTGTTGATAAGAGCATAGAGCATGATACAGTCTGTTCACTTTGGAAAAAATCTGGTTGGGTGGCAGTAGAGGCCTACAACAAAACTTCTCCCGTAGTGAAAATTCACAGACTGTACACATATTGTTTAAATTAATTCTTTTGAGCACTAAGAAAAGGGTTGATTGGGTGCAGGCCAAGTGAACATTCGGAACGTTAAACAGCCATGGTCTATGCCTCGAGCCTTCACTCTAAAAAGGCCCCGCTTCCACTCTCTTTTTCAGAGCGGTAAAAAATGATGAAGGAAATTAAATAAATATTCAAAACACAAAGCTGTGATATTAGTTTCACAATGTCTGACCATGATTATTTGTGTTGCAGTGATCTTAAGTGCCATTTTTTCCCTATTCAAAATTTTGAGAAAACAAAACAAAAGAAAACTTTAGTCTATAGAAGTCTGTGGGGATATCATGAGACCCATCAGGTCCAAAACTTACCATTTATCCGTCCAGGCCAAGATGACGTCAGTTCTGGTTGTTGCGTTGTGCAGGCTAGTGATCATAACCTCAACACGAGTGGCTCACCCTGACTTCGGCAGATTTCGCGGGCAGCACATTTGCGAAGTGCACTCTAGCTATAAGATATTACTATTGTCAAAGCAGTAACACACTTCTCTCGAAAACGACAGGACACACGGTCATTGCTTTTTTCCACACGGGGCCGACACGGGCGAACCGACACCGACGACGCGACGACGCGACGGCGCACGACGGCGGATGTGGCCGCACTGGTGGCAACAATGCTATCAGCTGTTTTCATTCATTTTCGTCTGCTTGCCACTCGTTTGGCTATGTTGATGTTGGTCAGTGATGATCCGT